AGAGGGAGAGAGAGAGGAAGGAAAAAAGGAAGGAAGGATATTTTGTGAGGTTAAAATGTGGACTGGATTTGGGGTGAATATATACGGAATAGAAAAAAATAATAGAGCCATACATTCGAATGGTGAATATGATACTAGAAAACCAAGGGCTTGTCCTGTCTCTGTCACTTCTGAGGGGTGTGAGCTGCCTGAAATCCTCCCCACTAATTGGATGTACACAAATTATTTATAAAATATTTAAAGTTTTGTCGAAAGTGGTAGCAGTATGACCTGAGCAAGCCTCAGATGAAATGGCTGTAATAAGGGAAGATGGGATGTCGATAACCGTCTCCTTTACCTCACAAGGTTAAGTTAACTAAGATGATCTATGTGAATGCACTTGGAAAGCTGTAAAGCCCTATGTGGATATGTATCCAGACTTTCAATGAATTTAGTCTGTGCCTCCGGAGCGCCAGGAAGTACAACAGCACAGCAGATTAGAGCTGGGAATCTGCAGCCCAGCCGTTTGTGAGTGGGCAAGCTCCTAAACCCTCTGTGCTTCTGTTGACCTAGGATGGATAGGCGACCGTTTGTCAAAGGTCAAGGACAAGGCTGGCACACAGCAAGTGTTACTTTTTATTAAATAAAATCGTGAGCTGATGGGCCAGACTCCTGACCTCTAAGGAGCATGCATTCCAATGAGGTAGAAGGTGTGAGGATGATGATTGTAATGCATATTGTCTAACTTTCTCTTACTTTCAAGAAATGGAAGAATTGGCAGAACATGGCGTGTTTCTTCCTCCTAATATGCAAGGACTGACTGATGACCAGATTGAAGAACTGAAACTAAGGGATGAATGGGGTGAAAAATGTATACCCAGTGGAGGTTCACTATTTAAAAAGGATGATGTTGGACGAAGGAATGGACAAGGTAATCCCGCATTTTTCTCCTCTGCGCCCGCCTGAACATAGCAGCAAGTATGAAAGCGGTTCTTTCAGTTAAAAACTGACATCGGTATTTCTGTACGGACTTATAAAGTACTGCACCGTGTGACTCCCCACGGTAAAACACCAATCCCGAATGACGTAGGCGGATAAAGGAAGCGTCCGTTTTCTCTCTCTTACTAAGATACGCTTTTAAATATATCAGGTAAACCATATGAAATTAGGTCACAAATCGTTGAAAACTCGCAATTCCATGTGGTTCGACCTAAGGGGAGGATTATCATTGGAAACTTCTTGAAGGTTGCGTTTTGTTACAGTTTGCAGATATTCGGGTTTCTTCACGATTCTGTGTGAAAGAAGGAAGTGAATGTTGTCAGCACGAGGGTCTCCAGTTGAATCGAGGACATGCTTCTCTTTGGCACAAAGCACCTCAGTACATGTCCGAGCATCGAAGAAATGGTTCTTCTTTTAGTATATGGTTGATCGTGTGGAATTTGAAGGGAAAAGGGATGATAACTCATTTTGATAACTTGTCCCTTTTAACCTGCATCGAGAGCTCCATTTAAAAGAACATAATTGATCATTTAACAAACACCTAAGTATCGCCTACGCGCCTAACACATTTCTTTTGTTAGAAGCAAAAGAAATTCAAAAGTGTCCCTACAAGGTCTTTACATGCCCCAAATATGTATGTGTGTTTTTAAATATTGGGGATAATTGGAATTTTTAGTATTATTTCTTTTGATTTTTTACCTGGAATATGGTTGGCTGTCTTCCACATCTTTTCACACGTAAACTCATTCTCAATTTGGAGAGATTCTTTGCTTTTTAGAAGGAATTGCATCAATGAAAAAAATCTATATATCTCATAAGATCCGGTTAACAGTTCATTATTCATCTTTAAACCAATTGTCTTAACCATTACTATTCTAATAGTTTTACATTTCTAGTATTTTCAATGTCTAATTAATACTATTCTTAAGAATATAAGGTTCGAACTTGCCCCATCACCCTTAGATTGGGACATTCCATTTCCATTGTTTTTGCTTCTAAACGTTCAAGTTAATGATTTTTCTTGTTTAGGGGTGGGCAAACTATGGGCCACGAGCCAAGTTTGGCCATTGCCTGTTTTTGTAAAGAAAGTTTATTGGAATGCAGCCACCCCATTCAGTTATGTATTATCTATGGCTGCTTTTATGCTGCCGTGACAGTTGAGTAGCTGCAAGAGCGACTATATAACCTGCAAAAGTTAAACTGGCCCTTCACATAAGGTTTGCCAACCCCTATCTGTCCCATGATACGTATTCCTGTTCTTTGTGGCCTTTGCCACTTTGCGTACAGCGCACTCCAGGTCTCTGTTCTCCTGAAGAGATGTTTCCGTAACTTCTCGCGGGCTTGTGTCCCCACCTACATTCCATTCCTGTACTTCCTCTCATTTCCCTGACTCCCCGACTCAGAGGGGGTCGGGATATTTAAGAAGAATTTGAAAGACAGCTGTCTCTCTCCCCCTTCCCTTTCTTATTTTTATAGCTCCAAATGAAAAAATGAAGCAAGTTTTAAAGAAGACGATAGAAGAAGCCAAAGCCATAATATCGAAGGTTAGATTTTAAGTCATACTCTGTAGCTTGTCTTTTGAAATACAAACTCCAGTTTTGGCCTTTAGAGTTACCTGCGGACCAGCCTTTCCTTTTCTTTTTTTAAGCCTTCCAGAGAGCAGAGAAGCAAGCGTGTTCGGGGCAGGGCTTAGCTTTTCTTCCCAGTTCCCACAGCTCAGACAAAAAATGTTATTGGCTCGCGTAAATGTGATTCACGTGATATAAATATGAACTGATGCATTTGTGATTTTGTTTCCTTTACCTTTTTGAAGAACTTGAGGAAATGAAAGGCTGTGGTGGATGTGGCTCAGCCCAAGGTAGACACGGTAGTCACTTTGGTACCAGCGCTGTGTGATCCTTTCTGTGGCTCTGGCAATACCTGTCAAGGGTCTTGTACAGAACTTGGTGAATATTCGTCGAGTTGATCAGTAGCATTGTAGATAACGATGCCGGCCCCCTTTCAGAAACAAGTGGAAGCCAGCGTCTGTGTTACCATGGAAATGGTGAAGGATGCCTTGGACCAGCTCCGAGGGGCAGTGATGATCGTTTATCCCATGGGCTTGCCGCCTTACGATCCAATCCGGATGGAATTTGAAAACAAGGAAGACTTGTCAGGAACCCAGGTATGTGGCTCTTACATCCTGTCAGGTGAGTTCACACCCCGCCCCCCGCCCACCCCAAAGAGCAGAAGCCCCTCAGGTCAGAGCCTCCTCTTTGGGTGTAGTTTTTTGCTTCGTACACAGCTGTCCATCCTGCCGCATGATGCGGAGTGGGGGACGAGGACCCGAGGGGGCGAGGACCTGAGGGGGCGGAGCTCACGGTCGAGGGTGGCCCTCAGAGCAGCGGGAGGGAAGGTTCGCGAGGCTGCCCATCCAGAGTATCTGAAAACACTGCCCTTTTTTGGGGGGCGGGGGGGGGCATCAGAAATCCAGAAACCTAATTTGTGCCTGTTTCTACCCAAATGCATTGGTCCCTTTGCATGGAGTTTTGTGTTCCAGCCTTACCCCTTGCTTCATGTTATTTTCTACCTTTATGTTTCATTTTCCTTTGTCTGTCTCATTTATTCTTCATCCTATCAGACAGTATCTGTTCCTCTGAGCCATCTCAAACAGGTGGAATATGCAGAGGCAAACAGACATAAAAACCCAGCAGGATCCCAGTGTTCGTCCCCGGCAGTATTCTCAAAATCCAGCTAAGAGGGACCTTATATTATGGATGAGGATGCAAAGGAGATAGGGTACTCCCCACTTCCCAGAGCAAGAAGTCCACTGAGTCAGGGCATGAGTTGAAACTTACGGGAAGGTACTAAAATGAAGGGGACCTTTGAGTAAGTGGGGGAGTTAGTGCTGCCCCTGGGGGCCTCCACGAGGCCAGGGGCGGGCGAGGTTCCCGAAGCCTCGCCCATGCTGGGAGGGGCGCCCGCCAGGGTCCGCACACCCAGGTAGGGCCACTGTTGCTGTGTCTGATGACCTTAAAGTGGGTTGTCACCGCGGCCCCAGGCAGCGCTCAGTGTCATTGAGGAGTCAGAGGCCCAGCTGTGGTGGGCAGCCAAGGAGTTAAGAAGAACAAAGAAGCTTTCCGACTATGTGGGCAAAAATGAAAAAACCAAAATTATTGTCAAGATTCAGCAAGTAAGTACTTTTGCTTTAATATGTCACTATTTTATTTACTTTCAAACTAATAAAAATGTACAGCGCATCTGAAAGATTTTAAGTTCCTTGTGCAAATACTTTAATCCTATTGGTCCAGACTTAACACTGTCCTCTTATGCACCAACCGAAGCTGGAAGAAAATATGGATTGATTGGCAATATCTGGAGTTTGTTTTAATTGGGGGAGGGGGGTGCCATGCTAATTTCAACATTAAAAAATAGGGCTACAAGTAAATAAAAATATTTTTTGATTTCAAGTTTTTCAAAAAACTTGAAAAGTTTTTCATGCGGGTACTCCATGAACGAGGAGGGAGGTGAGAGGGTGTACGGGTACACCGCGAGCCGTGCGCCCCACGGCTGCTTCGGCCGTGTGCGCTCTTCCAAATCACTGCTCTCCCGTCTGGGGGATGCAGGGTCCCCCACGATTACCCCGTCCCTTCCCCACTGGGCCTGCAGTGGCTGCCTTGGGAATGGCCGTGACAGGGTGGTATTGCGCAGCCTCTGGTCTCCATCCGCCACGAGGGCCTAGGGCGAGGGGCTGCTGAAGACCAGGTGTCCCCCGACGATCCGCTTTGGATGGTCGGAAATGGATGGCCTTTTTGCCTTCGGCAGTTGGCAGAGGTGGTCGCAACACATTCACTGTAACTTCCTGGGTTGTCCCCGTGAGAATGCCTTAATCCGCCATGTGCTCTTCCCTCATCTTTGCAGAGGGGACAAGGAGCTCCAGCCCGAGAACCTATTATTAGCAGTGAGGAGCAGAAACAGCTGATGCTGTATTATCACAGAAGACAGGAGGAACTCAAGGTAACAGCTGGCATCTGGGGCATTCGCCCCCTCACCTTACCGAGGGGCCTGGGACAGTTGCGGGGAGGTGACTGCTGCAGGATGTGGCAGGGGCTTTGTAGGGCTTCAGCCTCTCCAGGCTGCAGGGGCCCTGCCAGGCCCACCCCCCATGCGTCAGAGTCTCGAAGTGTCCTGCTTCTGGGGAGGGGGAGGAGGAGGCTGGTCGTGGGTTCTTCCTCCAGCCTCTTTATGTTGCAAAATCCCGAATCACCTTCCTGAGTAAAACGTATTTATTTCCAGAAATTGGAAGAAAATGATGACGACTCCTGTTTAAATTCTCCGTGGGCAGATAACACTGCTTTGAAAAGACATTTTCATGGAGTAAAAGACATAAAGTGGAGGCCAAGATGAAGGTCGCCAGTGGATGAAGCTTTCAGAAATATTAGCTTGCTTCTCCTTAGGCAAAATAACAACAACTAAAAGAGATTCCCATAACCTCCTGCAAAAGGTGTTGACATTTCTAGTTTTTCTTTTAGTTTGAATTTTTACAATAGAAGTTATTAAAGGTTCTGGAACTTAAATACATTCTCAAAAAAGAGTGCCTAAATTATATTTATTTAAGGACTTTAGTATTTGAGGTTCTTTGACAAAATACTAAGGATTTAATTACTTACGAACATTTTTTTTTCTTTCTGATTTCTTTCATTCTCATGAAGCTGTCGAATCCGAGGAAATCGAAAGTACCTTTTCCTTCTCTGTCAAGTATCCGATGTGAGGCTTAACCGTCAGTGGCCACTAGAGGCCGCCTGTCACTTACTCGTTGCACGTTTTCTTGGGCCCTCTTTGAAGATCTGTGGAAGGCGGGTTCTCAATCTCTTGTTAATCTCCTTTGAGAGAGGCCTAATCCCACAGGAGGGTATAACTGTAGCCTGCATCTCCCAGCTGCAAAGGTGAAGTTTACCTCCTAGCGATGCCCAACCGGCCTAGGAAGTTGGGTAGTCAACCTAGTCTAACCTTAAAACAACAAATTCTTCTGTAGTTTCTGGGTTTTTCCTGAAAACGAATTTAGGTCCTGGTAACAGGTGCTTCTCCCTTGTGGGCTCAGCCTGCAGAGCTTAGGATGCTTAGTTTCTACTGAGACTGACAGGTGGCATCAGGCTCAGTGACCATCTGGCCACAGAACACACTGGTCACTCATCATGACTGGTTTTCTAGGACACCTTTAATTTTAAATATCCCAACTCATCCCCACAAACCCTGACACTTCAGCAGCTCAAGTGCCTCTCAGACTTTGGCCTAGAAATCTTCTCCTGCTTGACTTTTGGTCTGTAGGACAGTGTTCCCCTAGGTGGCGGACATGCGGCATGCTCGCCCAAGAAGTGAAGTGATCGGCCTCCTGTGCCCACCGCCCCTCCTTCCTCGTACGCTCCCAACAGCCACAAAGATGGAGGCAGGGTGGGTACCGGTTCCACCTGCCCGGAGGCAGCCTGTCCCTGGAGTGTGGGGCCAGACAGCCACCTGGTTCCCAGAACTTGTAGGGGCTGGAGACCAGCCCCGTCTCTCTCTGCCCATCCCCATGGGCCAGAGGAAATGGAAGTTGGGACACAGCAGCAAGACTCACTGAGACTAGTCCCCTGCCTCAAGGGGAAGACTCGGGCTCCCGGCAGAGACTGGTCCCTCTGGAGAGCAGTCCCCCAAGCAACCTACGCGGGTCCTTCTAGAACCGTCCGCCACCTCCCCACCATCCCCACCAAGTTATTAGGGCAGCTGCCCCTCGGTTTCTAAAGTGGGTTGTAGCCGATTCTATGTCTTGAGAATACCTTACTCTTGGTTCATTGTCAGATTGTATGAAATCAAATTCACATCTATCTTTCTGACTGTCATTATAATTTCATTATAATTTTCATAATTTCATCAAAAACTGTCCTTAGATGATGTAAAGATCCTTTGATTGAAGAGCATCTTGGCTTTGTCAGTGTATAGTTTATATGCACCACATCCATGCCAGACTTGCAAAAAATGTTAAGCCACGTGATCACAGCAGATCTTAAGAACCACTATTTCCATATTATTAGGAATTCTCACTGACTCAATGAGACATATATGCTTCATGTGGCCATGATAGTTGTTACTCTTTTGCTTCATAAAATCACCAGAAGTTATTAGCCAAAGGGTCACTCACTTTTGAGTATGGAAATCATTAGATTATCAGCATCCCACTACCTTCTTTAGCGAATACTCATGTGAAATAAGAACTGTCCTCTCTGCCCCAAACCCCCTGAGCTCTGTTTGGACACAGCAGCTGGTCTCGATGTAAATGCGAGGAGCCCCATTGTAGCCATCTATGGGGAAGGAGGGACCAGCAGTCCCCGATAGTCCCTGATGGCTGCTCCGTTCACCCTGTGCATCCAGCCCTGAGGACGGCGGTGGTGACTTGAATCATCCATGGTCCCATCACTAGAGCGGGTGGAGCCAAGGGCCACACCGGGGACTTCCCAGAAAGCAGCTTCTCAACAAAAGTCTCTTTGCTGGATGGCAGGCCACAGAGCCACTTGAGCGTGTGGTCTCGGTTTCCTGTCCGTTTAATCCAGGACATCTTTGGATCAATATCAAAAGGCAACGAAGGGCCTGTTGTCTGTACGGAGCCAACCTGGGTCTGTGGTTTTGTCCTTGTACCTAACTTGTCTTCTCGTGTAGTTATTTCATGGAGACCAGGAATGCTAGTAAGAAAACGTGACACCACCTAAAACCCCTTCGACCAGCAAACTAAACACAGGCAGTATTTCTGTCCTAAGATTGCCTCGTTCCTTGGCAACTGCTCTGCAAAGAATGTGTCATTGAGCTTGAAATTAATCGCCATGTGCTTAGAGCACAGTACGCCTGAGGGGGTCCGAGCTCTGCCGAATTCTCTTACAGAGCCTCACAGCCACCCCCCACCATGCTCTGATTGTCGCAAGACCCCAGGAGTCGTCGCTGCGCATTGCAGAAAGCCCCACTGGCCCCAGAGAGACTGAAATGTGGTTCATTCCAGGAGAAGTTCAACACCAGATGTCACATAGTCATAGCTGGCATTTACACCTCACTGTTTCCCAGACAGCGGTGCTAACTGCCGAGTATATTTTCTTATTTACACCTCACAGATTGGGAAGAGACTAGTACTGTTCTTTCGCAAAGGAAACCAAAAGCCAGAAACGTTAATTCGCTCAAGGTGAAGTATCTACAAACCCACCTGCTTGCCCCAGAGTCCGCCCTTAACTGTGTGATAACTTTCCATAGACACTAATGTAGACACTAAGCCACGTGCTAGTGAACAGCGAGTGATCGTCCACGAGATACACGTCTGCGAAGGGCCCAAACCCAACACAACAGCCACGGCCATGCTGTTCCCGCAACGGGGCCAGATTCCAAAAGACCACATGAGCCATCGTCATGAAATGCAGAATGTAGTTTTGTCACCTGAGCCTCCAGCCAGCCATGTTGAGTGGCAGAAGTGCTCAGAGCACACGGCCATAGCTGTGTCACTGCCTTTCCTGAGTGCGCTTGGCACATCAGCCCAAGGGACCTGAACACATTTTATAATGTTTCCTTGGCTCACTGAGAGAGGCCATCGTGCTCCGGTGCCCAGGCGGCCACCCGCATGAGGCTAACGGATGTGAGAATGGTACCAGTGCCCTTTCTGCTGCCCCTTCCTCAAATGCAGCACTTTGAAATAAAGCAAAGCCCGTGTAATAAGTAGGCGACGTGACGATGGTACAGAAACTGTGGTCCTCACGAGCCCCTCTTCCTCTGTCCCCTGCCCCCGCCCCCGCCTGCTAACTGTCCCCTCCCTGCCCCAAGCAAAGTAGGCAGACACAATAAGAGCATTATGCTGTGCGTTCCCATTTCTCATGATCCTATTTGCATTGTGCCAGGACAGATCCCATAGGCTCTGAGCGACTCTGTGTTCTCATGGCAAATTAGCAAAACACAAAATGTACCCAAAGCTCCTGCTATCAGAATCCTATGACTAAATCTCTTAAGATTGGAAAATAAAAGGGATGGAGATAAAGCAATTAAGGACACTGATATGCAAATCAAAACCCCCAAACAATGCCGCTCCGAGTTTATGAGACCTTCACAGAACGCACTCGGCTCACGTGGACAGATAGATGTCCACCTTTTCTCGCAACTGTTCCCAGACCCTAAAGCTCTTGTCATTTCTAGGTAATTGACATTTAACTGATGAGAGAATTTCTGAGAAGCAAAACTCTTGATATTCCCTTGGGAAATAAATATGATTTAAGTTACCGAATGTAAGATTTTCATAGTTTTATGCTAAAGTTGGTGAATATGTCTAGGAAATAAATGTCGCAAGTTGACTATTAGCAAATATAATTTGACCTATTAAAGTTTAACTGACGCTGTCTATATTAGAAAAGGCACCCCAAGTGGAGACGTCAGAAAAGGAAAAGCAACATTACCTGGCTTAAAATAATAATTTGGAAAAAACAGAATTTCAGATCATGTGGGCATCCCATCCTTGTTAAAACAATTAATAAACCCAAGACTGAGAAGAAGTCAGGTGTTTTTCTTTTTTTCCCACAGGGAACTACATTTCCTAATAGGCTTCAGAACATACTATCGTAGTTAAGATGTAATTTTAAAAATTTTAAAACTGTAAATTATATTAATTTTTATATAATCTGTAAAATTACAAATTTTATTAAAATGATAACTTATGTAATTTATAAAATTATTCTTTATAGATATATATTTGTAGTAAAATCTGCGAGAAAGCATTTTTTTTTTTTTTAAAGAGGAAAGTTAGCTAAACAAAGTCGCCTCCTGGGAATTGCCTATGTAGTTCAAGCCAGAAAGCATTTTTTTTTTTTTAAAGAGGAAAGTTAGCTAAAACAAAGTCGCCTCCTGGGAATTGCATATGTAGTTCAAGTAGTCGGTCCTTACAGCCAACTCAGAGAATAATGTTCATAAAGCTGGCAGTGAGAGCCTAGAGGTTTTCACCTGCAAGTCGAAATCCAAAATGTTTCATATACTGTAGTTATAAAGGCGGTATATAAATGTATTTTTAAAGTAAATTTAAATATTTGTAATTTAGAATATTTTTCTCTGTTGAAGCCTCATCCACATAACACAACTTTTTTTGCCCAATTTTGCCCATCTCCCAGGGAGGGCTGAGGAACATCTTCCTTCTCAATTCTGCAGGTTTCGGGATGTGGTCACTACACCTTATCATCCCGCCTGCTTGCAGTTAAGAGTCTTTGTTTATACGTCCAGTCATCTTGAATGGACTGTAAGCTCCTGGAGGCAGAGCCACTGTTTTAGTCAGGTTATTAACTCTTTCTCGCCAAAAGCGAGTATTTCGACATTTCCCTCAACCTTTCTGCAGAAGGTACGACAGATGGCGATGAGGACAAGCGAAGGGGCAGCACTTCTACCTTAGTACAGGTGCTGCTTTGCCTTTAAGCTGATCGATTAACGGAAGTGGGGGAGGGGCTAGCATCAGGGATGTTACTTTTCTGTTAACTCCATGCTTCATGGTCAGTGGCAAGGTTCCACGGTCACATCTAGAAAAATATATAGCAGTAAATACCTGAAATC